GGCCAAAGTGCAGGACTAGCACTTGGCAATAATTTTAACACAACCCATTTTTGCCTCTTCTTAAGAGATATAATCCTTCTGCATTGCTATCCTCACAGATGTGAGCTGAACAAACTTGTGTGACATGGAATCAAAGGAGGGTGAATGGTTGCTTTACCAGTAACTGCATGCATGAGATGAGCCCACACAATTCAATGGATTCACTGAAATGTGTCCTTCTTGGCACATTTCATTGTGACAATTATCTAGAAATCTGTCTAGACTTACCAGGTAGTTGTGGATGAATGTTCTCAATCATGTATTCTTTTAAATTTTTTGGCATTTCCCCTCGAATATCAACCAGGACCCGAGTCTCAGTTGAAGAAATCTTATAGATTAGCACTGGACTAGTTTTAGCTAAAACAAGCTCAGCATAATTAGCTTTAAACTGTGGTGCATCCTTAAAGAGAAAAGAAAGGGGAGAATGTTTGAGACTGATTAATGAAAGGATATTAAACATCAAATATACAAAATCATTTTCTAAAATACTTTGAAATAAAATCCCATATCATATTAATACCTCACTCATATTTAATACATGTCATTAAAAACCTGTAATATAATCAATGTAGTAGTTTTCAGTATGATCACTTTGTCTTCTTTTCATAAACAAAGTGGTGGGAAGGAAAGAACTACACTAGTCTGAATACAACTACAAGGAGACACCAGCTGAGGAGGAATCACAGAGCACTGTCTAATGAGGTCTTAAACAAGATTCCAGAAGTAAAGAAACTTGGACAATGCTAACTGGGTCAGGGACCCAAAAAGTGCTGAAGTTCCTCCAAGTCAGTGTTCCCAGCCCAGTGAAAAGTCTGCTAGTTTTGGTTTATTCTCCCTTAATTATTTTTGCTGTTAATGCAACAGTTAATGCAGCAGGCACAGAGGACATGATCCAGCCAGGATTTCCACCTGGATTCTCCAACCACTCAGCTACCAACTCAGGTTCCCAGGACACCAAAACCAGGACATCACCTTCTCTCTTGTAGTTTATAGGTTCCAAAGGCAAATATGTACCTGGTTACAAGGTGCCCCATGTTCAGGCAGAAGCACAGTTTGGCACTTCTTGTGGGTTTGACTGACAGCTGCTAGGATGATCTAAAACTCAAGATTTCCACTCCCTGAACAAAAACTGTACATACTGTGAGAAAAGGAGTGTCACCATCTTAGCTACCAGTATCTTAACACAAACCTGTCAAAGCACCTATATCCAGGGTGACAATTTTACAGACTGGGTTTCAGCTTTACAGTGGTGCTCCTTCTGATCCAGAGATAGTGCTAAATCAGACACAGCACTAACAGTGCACATAGTAGGACCTTACATGAGACACTGCAACATTTTTTCTTTCAAATCCCTAAATTTCTCTGAACTACCCTAGTGACTCCAGTGCTCAGTTTAAATTAGCTATGTTGAATCCCAACCATTTTTTTAACCCTCCCTTGTTCAGCTATATGCTTAAGAGTAACACTATACTCCACTCTTAAAACCAGAAATCTAACTTTTAACAAGAATAACCACTTTAAAAAACAAGGCCAATGCTGGCTTACAGATACTTCAGTGTTTTAAGAATTGAAAATCTGATCTGTAACTGTACCTAATATGCTAAGTCTGACATAGTAAGTTCAACTGTCCTAGAGCTGGGACAGAGTATGCATCAATAATTTAGGAGTTAAAAACATAGATCAAAATTTCCAAGCACTCCTCAAAGGGACACAGAAACTGACAGGACAGCTGGTTAAATACCTAAATGCACAGTTTTCACTGCTCTTGTTGGAAAAGGTAATTAATAACAACATGTTCAGTGAAATTAAGCAGTAGCATACTGGTTTATACAGTATTGCACAGAAACATTACCTTCAAAATGCAACCAACGAAATGGGATGAAATAGTAACTTTGCTGGATACCAAGGTTTTCCGGAACTTGGAGAAAAGTCCATCAGCTACAACTGTAAGTGGTGCGTGAAGTTCCTGCAGCATAAAGAAAAAATAAAGATGTGACTGTCAATTTTGCTTCAGAACAGTGAGAAGCAACTCCCAAGCTCTCTTTTTCAATTGTACATTAGGTTTTCTACAAAATAGTGAACATGTAAAAGGATCATAGACCATATCAATAACATATGTATTAAGAAATATAGGGTTTTGCCTTCCTCCTATTCATATTTATCTACTTCCTCTAAAAGCTGATCTAACCATATATTCCAGCCTTTTTAGACATGCATTTAGATAACAGAGTTATGTGAGCTGTGTGGGAACTTGGATTTAAATAAAGGACAAGGAAGAGGAGTAACTGCTCCCTTCAATCTGTAATACTCTTCAGAAGCAGTTCCTGGTATACTTAGGAACTCTACCAGCAAACAGTGCATATAGACAAAATGCAAATCTGAGTGAATGGATTAGGATCAGCCTGAAGGTATGTGCAAATTCCTAATGTTTAACACATACACTGTGCTCAACCATAAATTATTCCAATTACTAAAACATATTTTTAATCCTTTTACTGTTATGGTAATATAACAACAATATTATACTAGAAAGCATTTAGACACAGATGTTCTCTTCTACCTACAGCCTTCTCAACATCAATACACTCAGACAATACATTTACACTGAGCATTAGTCCCTGACCTACAGTAATCTCATATGCTTGGTGTGAGCAGAAAAAAATAGTTTCCCTTTTAAGCTTCCAGGATGTAACAAGGCAAAAAAAGCCCTCCGTGTTGGAATGGACCTCAGAGATCATCTAGTCCCAACTCCCCCTGCCCTGGGCAGTGACACCTCCCACTAGACCAGGTTGCTCAAGGCTTTATCCAACCTGGCCTGAGTCCAACTCCACTTGGTCACACAAACCCTGACATCTTTTGCTGTGTGAAAGGAAGTCAGAAAAAATCAGATGAGAGTACATCTGAGTGAAATAATACATATTTTAAGGTGTCTGTGCTTACAGAAGTGAGCTCCTGTGTAGAGCTAATGAAACTTCTTCCCTATGGATTCCAGCTTGGATGGCTGCAAGCTCTAATTATTCCTGCAATTAGACCAAAGTCACCTGCTCGTATGGGTTCCCTGGTGTCTAATGAGCTGAACATTGATGCTGCAATTTTTTCACAGTTAATGTATTAAGCCTTTTGCTATTCAGTTGCCTTGTTTTGCTAAATTTGATCAGTTGGCTTCCAGCAGACTGGCTAATCTGAACCTGATTTAAGAGAATAAAAGCGTCAGAGGCAATGTGGTGGACAACTGGCATGGAGACAACAGAAAAACAGACACACAACACAGATCAGCCTCCTTTCTTTATGAAAACAGGCCAAGGAATGTAAACAGGCTTGAGTCTTGTTTTTCTACTCAGCTGTTTCCTAGCTGTAAAAAGTCACAGGTAGGGGAATATAGCTAAGCAGAAAGGTTTAAAGGAAATCTCTTACACTAGATTTTTAAAAAAATCAAAGGAGATCTAGGCCAGCAAATGAAACAGCTCATCCCAGCCACACAACTTCACCATTTAGAGAAAAGCATGATCTCGTGTATCTGTAGTACGCAGATAGGAAACAAAGCTTTTAGATGAACATCCACACTCCTGGGAGAAACACAGGCTAAAACACTGCTCTCATCCTACTGCTGCTCAAGTAAGTCACACTTAAAATTACAACAATAACATCCATAAATGTGAAATGCTTAAAAACAAAACTCAAAGCAAAATATGCACTATCCTCCTGCTACCCCCAACAAAACAAAACCAAAACCCCTTCTGTGTTTCTAGACAATGGAACAAACTGGATTTGGGAAAAAACAACAAGCAACAACAAATACCTCCCTGCCAAAAAAAACTGCTCGTCTCCAAACTCCCTGTCTTTTCCATACCCATGTGTGGTTCAATGGCTTATTTTACTAGAGTGGATCTCCTAATATGTTTAATTTTCTATGACATGTAAGACAGACCAGGAAACAGGACTTGGAACTCTCCCTTCCTTCAGCCACCTCAGCAGTCGCACTTTGTCATCAAGAGGGATGAAATGCTCACTCTCTCTCCCACACCTTGGGCAAGTACTTTTAAAAGGCTTTCTCACATATGGTTTCATGCCACATTTCCATTTCTAAATGACTTAAAGGTCAAAGATGTTGTTGAGCAATGCTCAGGGCAGGAACGTCCAGCTACTCAGGAATTTTCTCCATCTTGCATGGAGGGCAATAGTGCACAGGCAGGAGATTCCCACCTTCCCCATCAGAGCTCATCTGAACACACTGGGTACATAACCTCAGGCAGCAAAGGAATTTCAAAATCAACAAAGAAGATTACAAATTCGGGTTTTTTTAGACAATAGGCAGCATATTCAGAACTGCAGCACAGAGCTTCTACTGACACTGGTCATTCCTAAACTTTTTAAGCTTGCACAGCTTCATAGCATTTAGCCAGCAGTTTAGCATTAGCTGAGGCAAAGAACATTAATCAAATTAGGGACACAATTAAAATAGGTCAAAACTCTCTATGATCCAAGAAATGACTGGACAGAGCTTTCTCTATGAATAGGCAACTATTTTATCTTCAGTCCCTCACTAGATGGTGGAAGTACATGTGGAAATGCAGAGCATTACACACAGGCAAAGCACAAATCCTAATATATTGCTTTTTTTAATGAGGAACTCTCAAAAGATCTTAAAACTCCAGATTTATGAATATTGAAACAAATAATTAACAGAATTCTACAGAGACACTGAAAGCAGAAGATGCAAAAGAAGTTGAATATTGTGTGCAGTTCTGGGCCCCTCAGTTCAGGAAGGATAT